CGAAGGTGTGCAGTCATGCAACATTTCCACTCAATGTATCGCCGTAATTTATTGATTAGGCAAAAAAAAAATGAACTCCTATATTATTCTTTAATAAAATCTACCTGACAGAAAAAACAAAAATAATTATAAAAAGTTCTCATCATTCCTTTTTACGCTGGCGAAGTCGAGGGAAGACAGTGTGGTATAAAGTAATATAATTTTAACATTATGGATTAGTATCAGTCTTTTGTGTTAAAGAGAATTTGCGTTGCTATTATTTTATATTTTTACAATTGTAAAAATAAATTATATAATTCTGCATCTGCTCTAAGATCACTTAGACACGAGGTACAAACAAATTAAAGGTTTTATAAAAAAAATTATATCGAAACGTTTCTCGTATTCTCTAGGAAAATAAATCAATAAGCCTGTAACTGCCTACGCGTATTATGGAAAATGATGGCAATTTATATTGTGAACTAACAAATATAAATACAGAATATCAATAAAAAGCTGAACAGAAGAGGCTTTTAGGGCGGAGAGAGTAATAACAAACTTTGTAAAAAGAACACGACTTTGCTATTAAATATTTTTAATAGATAGGTTTTTTATCTTGCTACTTTAATGGGGCATATGCAACGTAAGTACCTAATTGAGGAACGCTCAACATTATTATCCTATGAATATATCCTATAGTCCTATAATATATTAAATGTGAAAGTTTCTTTGTTTGGATGTTTGTCGGTCAATCACGCCGAAACTACTGAACGGATTTTGATGAAATTTGGTATACAGATAGGGTATTAGCTGACTTAGATAATAGGATACTTTTTATCCCACTTAACATTTCCCTACGGACCACTGCGGGCGAAGCCGCTCGCGAAAGCTAGTAAAAATATAAGCAATGGCAGCAATTCCGTTTCATTCAATTTGATTATTAATTAACAATCATTCTGATTATTAGAATATTTTAATTTTACAGATAATAAAATCAACTTTTTAAATTAGGTACTGTAACGGTGTGCCATGCCACCGTTTGTTTTCCTAGGTTTCAGTATGCAAACTTTTTGCTTTTGAAATTCAACATCATTTCATTTTACTATTCGTCTTTCGTAATTTAAAATTTTGACTAATCAATTTTACTCTTTATGGATGTCAGTTCGTAAGAAATTCTCCTATACATAAGATGAAATTATAATATAATACAATATTATTGGTATAAATTTTACTATGTAATTTTTAAATAATTCATATATTATGGTGATACAATAATATAACATATTTACTAAATTAAAACTGTATTTTGTACGATCCAAAAGTGTAACAAGAAGCCCGACAAGGGTTTTTTTTATTATTACCCTTATTTCATTAATAAATTATACTCAAGCTGATCAGCCTATTTAATTGACGAAGCACCGAACCCGTAACAGTACAATTGTGTTATTGTGAGTGACAAAGACGTCTTCTGTCCTTTTCACTCCCGTGCCTAAGCCCGATTTACACTTCAATAAGTACTGCGGCGAGTTAACTTGACTCTCTAGCGAATTAAGTACTTTATGACATCAGTGACGAGCTAACTTGTTTCTCTGGCGAGTTAACTTATTGTCGTGTGAACGCCAAAAAGAACTTAATTCGACAGGGAAACAGTCATTGTGTATTGAAGTGTAAACGAGTCTCTATTGTTTTTTAATACAGACGACCTCTTAAGGAATTTGTATGCTACACGAAGATTATCAAATTAGAATACTAACGCAATTTCAGAGGAAAATATATAAATATTCCGTAATATCAAGAAAGAGACTACGCTATAAATAAATTTATATCTCCTAAATATTGTGACTGCATTTTACCAACTTTAAAATGCAGACTTTATAAACTGTTTGCTATTTTAGAAGTCCAATTTACTAATGAATTTTATGTCTCAAACGTAAAATTCTGACTTAAATAAAATTGACTTAAAAAATAACAAAAATAAAAACAATTTAAAAATCTAAGTACGACTGTACACCTACAGTAAAGATTCCCAAATACAGATAAGATATTATACGTAGGTGTTTTATTAAATTATATTCCTCGACTTCTTATACATACCTATGATATTATACGTAGGAAATAATATCCCTTGAATAGTTAACATGTTAAAATTCACGTGTCACTCTCAATATCGTTCACCGGGTCACGTTAATTGGTATTAAACATGCTAAATCTAGATAGACAACCAGAACAGCTAGGTTCTATTGGAAAATTACCCACATCGCTCTGCGCAAGCGCATCTATAACACTAAGTAATCAACTCCATACATAAAATATAACTAACCACGAAACTTGACAAAATACCGATATCCATCCATTTGACGAATATAAACAATGTAAATTTCCGATTCTAATATAGAACATCACATACAATGAGTAAATCCCAGATTTAGTAGCCGAACAACGAAGGTACTACAACACCTAAATTAGTATCGATATAGATAATCCTCTCTTTCAACTTACATTCGAAATAATATTGGAGGTAACTTTTTAATACCTTCATTTTTTTATTTACTTTTGAAACTAGTTAATTTACATTTTCATGTTTATTACGTTGGAATTTGTTTTGCTAACGAACTATCTGATTCAGTAATTTGTTTTATGCGCTCACTTAATAGATATTTAACCGTCTATGTTACGTGAGAAATATATGCCTATTGTTTCTCGTGGAGAACTGCTTAGTTATTCAGGTAGCAACATAACATGGCGGGCGATAATGTAAGCGGCGTTAGTACTTGATTTCAACCTAATTAATAGGTCATTAAATATATAAAGGAGCGTAAGAAACCGCTTAAAAATACAACCGTCAAAAGTATCCCAAACGGAATTCGAATCTCTACCCATGTACTAACTACTACTACTACTACTACTGGACACGAAACCATTTAACACTTTAATAAGTGACCAGTTAAGTTTGCATGTCGTCTGAACGATAAAAGAAAATAACTCGCGAGATAGGGAAGTTACTCGTACTCATTAACTACTACTGCTGAAGTGTAAATCGGGCTTTACCGAAAATGTCCAATATCTCAACGTGTACTAATCTTTTTTCGCATCAAACGACCGTATTATTTGCAATATAGCTTTCACTGAATGTACTCCAGGTAACACTACGCCGATAGGTGCGAAAATAATACAATTACATTTTATATTGTCCCTAAATCCATAAAGTAAAAATGTATGTCCTCGGAGGTGTAAAAATGGGGTTATTTCAGACCGTCGAGTTTTCTTACCTCACCATTTTATCCGCAAAGTATGTAAATTGGCACATTTCTTAGAAAATTCAGAATTTCTCCACTGAGTGGCTCTGTATTTCATATTCTTAGTGGCAATTCCGTTAGGTTTTATGTGTTACTAGGGGCTAGAAGACAGATTCTTACGCACATAAAATAAAAATAAAAATCTAAAGTAAGGACGTGCGAATTTTTTTATCAGAATATACAGCCTTTACGTACTTAACAGTTCATCAATCAAGCTCCATCAAAGACTCTATATAGTACATATTCTTTGGTAAGATATTACAGGAAAAATTTGATACCAGTACAGAAAATTTATCCTATGGTTTAATTCTTAGTCTAAATCTTATAAGAACATCCTATTAATGTCCATAATGCTGGGCCTTAGGCATTTCCTATGGATGGAATCGAATCAAACCCGTTAACGAGAATTAGTATATGACATAATGCTATAAATTTACGCGGACGAAGTACTATACTAGTACCTATAATATATACAAAAAATTATACCTTCTCAATTATATAAAGAAAATGTTGGTATATCTTGCAGCTTACAAAAAAGCATTCTGCCTATATTACAATATATTTTACTTCTACGAAATATGTCCAATAACATTAAATCGCTTTTAAAATAATTGGTAGTCTAATATGAAGCTTTACGATATCTATAGTTTCCTAGAAAAGACAGAATGTTTATAATTTTGTGTTTAAATATTCTAAACAATATGTCAGAGTAGTTGATTCTATTTGTGCGACTGCACTATACACAAAATTACGTGTACAGGCGAAACACGTGTCATTCCAATAATGCAACTTAATTTTGTTACATAAGTTGTATTATTGTACAAGCTCTCAAAGTAAAAAAAGTTCAAATTCACTCCTGAATTCAATCCCGATTCTCATTTCGTTGGATTAAATAAACTACCCAATCATTTAATTTATAAAAAACCTAAATGTTGTAATAATTAGTATCTCGTTAATTAGAAATGGTAATAAATACCCTTTAATAATTGTGTCGTTTTATCCTGAAAATTAATGTCATTGATAAAAAACATCAACTGTATACCTACTATCTGATATCATACAAATTATCATTTCCATCATATTGCGAGAACGATGTGAGAGTTCCGAGTAATCCATTCAATTCGAAATCATCGCTTCGAGATATCGTAGATTCCAATCAAAACTGCAAATAAGAGCCTACAGCGAAACTATACCTACTTCTCCTTACCTACACTATTCATAACAAGAGTAAAATAATAAATTATACACCTACTATAATTAACCTGATTATCATCTATTATTTTCTTATATTTTCACGCGCACTATCCATAAACTAAACGACTTTTAAACGTTTAAAAAACCGCTATGAAACCGATTAAAAGTTGTTTAATTACCGATTATGATCTATTATATATAACGAGATATTAAATAGCAAACTCTAAATGATCCTATTCCCATTGGACGCGTGTAAATAGCCATCGGCGATGCAAGTTACGGTAACAAGACCCAAGAACGTGGGGCGACCACTATCTCTAGGAGCTGATGGTGGCAGACGGCGGCGGTGACGTAACGTGGCAGCGCGGTGGCCGTGGCAGTGCTGCCAAGTGGGTTACGAGCGTCACCAGCCCCGCCCAGGTGCTACTCGTGCACTCATCCCGACCGACACACGGCGGCAAGGTCACTGCGCCACGCGATACATTACGCCGGCACAATGCAACTAACATAAAATATAAATCTATTACTAACCTGTTCTTTTCCAACTCGTTATGAGTGGTCCTGGAACAAAAAACATACATTGTTTACCGTCCGTCGCACTAATTGTCACACGATATCACTTCACAACACTAAACACTGCACCGGCGGCGGGCGACTCACCTGCTGCCCTGCGATTTCTTCGTCTTCGGCCTCCTCCCACCGGTGCGAGACTCCTCGTAAGCCGGTAAACTCGACGCGTATCCGTGCTCCGCCTCTGCAACAAAGAACACTGCCATTCCGTCAAAATCAGCTGATTGTGGCGGCGCAAAAATAGACGGGAGCCATGTCGACGTGTGCGTGAGGTGCACTCGATTGACAATTCAAACAAAGAAAATCCAATTCACCTCTATCGCGCCTTTCGATGAATTCAGCAGCTTGAATCAAGTCAGCAATACTCATATTTATTGGATCCCGGATTAGCACAGGTAGTCACGAACGTAACACGACTTTATTCGTATTAAAACTATAAATAAAAGTATCTTATCCGCTCCGATATTCACGACTGCGTTTGCCGATGTCAAAAGCACACTAGCTAGGCGAGACGGAACGCGCGATCGTGTATGCCGCTTCGTGATTTGTCGGCGCCGCTCGTGCAGCGCTCGGCGAGCCAATCGAGACGAAGCAATACTCACAATAAAATACCTGGGTCAATCACGTGAACTTTGTGTTTCCAAACAAAACATTTTTTTCTATGCGCTCGGTAGCAGCGCCGGCGTGGGATAATACAATACGACATGTATTTTATTGAATTAATAATTTTTAGTGCAAGCTGGAGTACACTCAGGGTATTGCAGATGATAACCTCTTATTGCACTTTTATTTTAATGAACTTATTTTCTACTTTTTAAATAGGATATCTTATGTTGAAGGACCATAAATGTAACCTACAAAATTTTGTAACTACTACAATATTACTAACTAAAAATAAGCAATAAATTATTTAAAAAACATCAATTACAGTATATAACTCAAACTTTTTCGCAGACCTATCTGTTTATATTACTTATAAAAGTATTATAGATATTATTTAGATCTCTCACAATAAAAATGTATATACATTTGTGAAACACTTTTAATATTCAAAATATTTAGACATGTTTTGAGCGTATCATTTAATATTTTCAACATGTGTAGACGAGCAAACAATACCGGCAAGAGATGTTTTCTTGGTTCCTGAAATAGAAAAAAATAACTATTGTAAAATGATTCGGAAAAAAAATTACATTTCATAAATAGTTACTCGTAAAAACTTTTGCAATGGCCGGTTCAAAATTTGTTTTATGGTCACCCATCTCGAGCTCCTCCGTGCTTCGGAAGGCACGTTAAGCCGTCGGTCTCGGTTGCATCTGCAGTCGTTACTACCCAACGATCCGCACTGGGCCGGCCCATTCTCCCTATCCAAGTCTATTCGATTCCATCCATATAGAGCCCCAGCAATGGGGATATTAAAAGGCTGATGATGATGAAAATTGATTCTATTAAATTCTCAACTCAAGTGTTGAGACTCGAGAATGTCATTAATTACATGAAATGCACAATTGTAATTCACAACTGCTACTATTTCATAGACTAGCTGTTGCCCGCGACTTCGTCCGCGTTGACATCATAAAATAGCAATGTGATGACTGAAAATTCACAGAATCTCTTTGTGCACAACATTGGTTGTTTTTCTTTCAAGGGCCAATATAAACAAACCCGCAGCAGTACTTACTCACGAGAAGTATACGTACGGCTAACCGTGGGAAGAACAACCACACTTAAAGTTCACAACAACACTTAGGGACTGTCCCTATAACTTATTTATAAAATGCATAATTGTAATTCACAACTGACAGATTAGTGATTTTATAGTTTCTCAATACCGACAATAAGCGCGAATCTTCTCCTTTTCTCTATTTTACTCCAGTATTATTAAGTTAAAAAAGGGAAAATACGCGCAAAGGTAATAAATACAGTTGTAAAAGAGTAAAAAAGAAAACAGTATTTTCTCTATTAAAAAAAAACTTATACACATATCGCAGCCAAATACTTAAAACAGCAGTTCAATTGGGCGGCTAGCCCTTTAATTGAATAGTGCCATTCAAATGCACAGCTAAACGTCGATCGATTGGCCGAACGCAAAATTATACAACACGGCTATACAAAGCTCAGGCAACTGATCAACTGATACAATGACAATATCATTAAATATATTCTTACTGACAGGACTAGCCGCATAGACAAACTTAGCGACTGCAGCAGACCAATTCAATTCTGGTAGAGTTTAACATCAACTGAAGGAATATGACATACTGTGGTAACCTGACGTCTAGGTGTATGCAAGTACAAGTATCCATTTCAGCACCATTCAAAAGTACAATATTCTGAAACTAACAGTACTTAAGGAGTTTCTTTTGACGTTGGCAAAATTACACACTTTGATTGGTGCACCTGCAGTTAGTCTTTTATTTTGTTATATTTTTTTATGGTCGTTGTTCCAATGTTTTGCCTAGGGCGCAATTTCGTTGAGCCGGCGCTGCTTAAAAACATTATTCTTCATATACGACAGTAAAATATCCGACATTATAATAAATTTATCGTGATATTCTTTGAAATTTTCTAGAAGTTCTTTTAGAAATCACTCGTTTACTTATTATTAAAAAAAAACTTGAGAATTTAGCACTGAGACTTAAAACAACTTGAGAGTGATCTCTAATCAGACATAGATGGACTGTTGATTTTGTAAGGCAAAACTAGCGCCGTAGTGGCGGAGAAATACACAAAATTAATCTTTTGGAGCCTTTTAAAGTAGCCATCATATTCAACTGAAAATCTACCAATGGTGCCATTCCAGAAAGGGCTAGCTGTCTAATTGTATAGCCGTTTTAACCAGTTGACTGCAACCAATATACTACAATATACACTTTATATTAGTAGAAAAAGCATAAAACAACAATAAAACTCACTGTAAGCACTCTGACTTTTCTATAGTACTGGCTGAATACACGAACCATAGAGCATAGGAAGCTGCATATTAGATGTGGCCTGAATTCGCATGTTTTCTCACTTATATCAACACAATTCTCTAAAAGAGATGGTAATCCCATTATATAATTAAACACCAAACTCCATTCATCCTAAAACAATAAGTAACATTAGTTTTTAAACACGTAAATATGGTTTAAATAGGGACAAAAATTAATAGGAATTCTATTTAGTCCATCAGTCAGATAATAGCAAAAGTATTCGATATATTTTGTTGCTTCAATTTAACAGGAAATGGCTCAGATAATAGACATTAAATTTGAGGAGTGAAGCTCGCTACTTCACAACCATATACAAAATGTACGAAGATGTGACTTCATATGACATTTCAACCCAATGTATCAGCATAATTTATTGATTACGAAAAAAATACTTCAACATTCCTATTTATATATAGTGAATTTTGTATCTTAATATTACAAGCTTATAATTTCAGTGTTACAAAATTGTAATACCTAATGCAAACAGTTTTTAACAGCTGATTATTTTTTTGTAAATACAGTGTTGCTCCCATAGTAAAAGTTGTTCAGTGTAATTAACTCATCCCATGAGGTCCTGGCACATAATAATATTACACTTTATATATAGTATAGACACAGACTGAAATCTAACCTTGTATAAATCTGCACTGGTACATTGTGAGTGGTTTATAGAATTCGAAGTGCAGTTTGACAATATTTAATTTAAATTTTGTTTCATTAGAACTGCTACTTTAATTATTGCTTACACTTAATGAAAAACATAGAATACTTAAGATGGTACAAATTTTGGAATGAACAAAAATACTTAGGTATTGAATTTATGATTCTTTTCTATATATTTTTTTGAACAATAATATGTGAATATTTGTATCATGATTGAAAAAAAGATTGTGTCCAAATTTCTAATTTTTGATCAAAATAATTTGCAATGAAATACAAATCAATTATTATAATTCACATTCTGACCATCACTTATTGAAATATATTGACATATTTTGGTTGGAAAATAGTTAAAACCAGGTACTTAGGTTAATACTTGTTTTATAATAAGTTTTAAATTTATTATATATGTCTGCAATCAGCCTTTTAGCTATAATCAGACTAGCTGGTATTCCACACTTTGTGAGACCACACATAAAGACCATAAAGCTCCTGTCACATTGCAGTCAGTTGACTTCTTTTAAGGCGTTTTATGTTATGACTGGTTTAAAATAAGATAGAATAAGTTTATTTAAAAAAGTTATGAAAAACCTAGATGGGTCACCTCATGTGTAAGAAGACTGAAATCAGTATCATCGAAATCAGGTAAAGGGGGGTATACTCCATCATCAACTTTTTCATTGTAAGATCTTACAAGAGCCTCCAATCTTGCACAATTATATAAAACGAAGGCAGCTCCTGTAATGAAATATGATAACTAATATAAAAATATTTTCCATTTACACAATAAACTGCAGCAAAAAGAACATTATCAAAAGAGTACATAGAAGCACAACATTATTTTATAATCTAAATTAATGAGATGAAGAATGAAGCTCACTTTAACCGGCTTACATTAAAATATTCCCTCATATGTATTCTCATATAATCGGCAGTTCAAATATTGTTGATATGGATTTCCATTGTCTATGCCCATATGAGCACATTCAGGCACAATAACCATCTCCTTATATTTAAGTTGCTTTAGAAAACTTTTGCAGCCAATAATGTAGATCAATTTAAAACACAGGACATTTACTTCAGAACTGCTATATTACATACAACCATATCAGTTCTTTCAAATAATGATATAAAAATTACCTTTACTTGATCCAGCAGAAGAACACTCAAAGTTAACTTTCACTGCTCGACATGGTTTTGTTTGCAATAATTCAAATACAACAGCTGATTCACCGAGGTGGTCAATAAACTGTTTCCACTTCTCCTGTACAGATTCTCTGACTCCATATTTGTGTTGAGCAATAAGGATCATCTCGTTCTGACGCATTCTGAAATTTATAAAACGTCTTGTTTATGTATTATAACAAACAATAAATACTACTATAACTGAGCAACAAGTAAGTATTGATATCGACCCTAGAAAGCAAAGTATGTAACCAGCAAAATTCTTTAGAGCATAAAGACTAATAAAGTTTTTCACGGGCTACTATACTATATGTTATGTATGTATTACACATTTGCTTTCTAACATTGATATAATCATTGTAATGATGAATAGTCCTGATTTCTATTTCATACCTAATATAGTCATCAGCCTTAATACTTATTTCTTTACCTCCTGTCGTAGCATTCAGTACTGTGCCACAAAGAACTGAATGACTGACCTCCTTCATTTGCAAAGAACTTAATGTTATAAATACATTGGGACAGTCTTTCCCTTTAGCAAAAATACGATATAATCTATCGACAGCAACAGCCAAATATTTTAAACGTAAGGATGTCAGACAGTTATCATCTTCACTTTTGTGATCACAAGTAACAAGACCAGTATGTTCTTTAATTATCCGACTTATAGTATTATTATTGTTCAATGCATCTCTCAAACCTATAATAATTGATTTTGGTCGATTAAGGAACATATAAATACGACCTTTATCTTGTTTAACCTTTATCAATTCTAGATGCCAATCTTTCGATTCATTAACGAAGTCGGAATCGTCCTTCTGTAAGTATTTTAAGAGAGTCAGGCTTGAATCTTCGCAACCGCTAAGTTTTTTAAACTGGTGCCAAGATTTTATTGAATTTGGGAAACTGAATTCACCGTGGCGTTGCAAATTTTCTGAATGTTTCTTCACGAGTAAACCTTTTTGAACGTTGGATTCTCCAGTCAGATATAGATATATATCATTGAGAAAATCATTGAGGACATTTTCTATCATATTTTCACCTTGCACTAACAAGAAAAAGATATATTAATTGATTTTACTTTGGCATGCAAAATTCTTGCCTCGTAAAAATCTATATAAAAAAAATATACAAATATTTGTACTGAAGGATTTTTTTTAATTAATATTATTGGCTTGGAATTAAAGTCCTTTAAGCCAAAATTTTGTTTGCACTGCCTTCGGTATTATTTTATATCGTCCACAGACCTAGTAATTCGTCCATGGGACAGGCTATGGTACGTAGCTTACCTAGAGGTGAGGCGTATTTACTATGGTACGTAGCTTACAGGTCTAACCACAAAGTATTTTACAATAGGAAGCTGCACCTGTTATAATTTTTTAAATACTTTATCCACCTAGTATTTCTATAAGTTATATGATTTTCGACATTAATATAAATCAGGAGTTAGAGCTCATTATTGCTTAACGTGTCATATTCCGACTTTATTTAAAACTACAGTGTCAGATTTCATAATTAATAAGGCAAAAGTATACAAAAAGATGTTTATGTTGTAGGAACCATTATGTTGAAGGTGTGGTCGTACTGGATGATGGAGGCAATTGGCAATGGAGAGTAAAGGATAATGAGGAAGTATTTAAAAGAAAAATAAAGAAACTACTAAAATTGCTACTTGATTAATACGAACATATCCTTTGAATGAATAAATTTCTTTTTTATTTGTATAAAGGAAAATGGAAACTAATATAATGAAAGTGAGCATAAAGAAGGTTTTTTAAAGGTTATAGAAATCAACGGAATTAATGCTGTGAAATTATTAAAAGTGACTTTACCTACGGTATATAATAATGGTAACAATAATATTGAAATAGTTACTATGCCATAAATAAAATACTTATGCCATAGTAGCTCTAGGAATTTTCATTATAATATTTAACAAAAGTTCTGAAAACAATAACAAATAGGTACATTAATTTTGTTGCTTTTAGTTGTTCATTGAACTTAGAGCAAATAATATTATCTATCCCTTTTTTCATATGCTATTAACGGTTAGTTAACAAGAGAAAAATAGTTATTTGGAAGCAATGGTTATGCATTACTCGTATATTTATCAATATTTGTATATGCTTCGTAATTTAGAGAAAATTTGTTTTAATCCAAGTATGTATCTCATTGGATGTAGTGAGTAGCGATTGGCAATTGTTGCAAAAAAACTATCGACTAAATCGAAATTTGTGCTACTGCGCATTCGATAGTCGATTTAGTCGATCCCGCCATGATTATTCGAATAACAATCGTCTTGACTACTAACTATACGCACACTATGTGATTATTCTGTGCTATGCGCGCGGGGTATTACAGTGTTGCGTTGATTATTTGCTTACTTTATTAGTAATTAGTTGGTATTATTATTTATAATAAGAAAGAAAACTAACAATACAAAAAACCGGCCAAGTGTAAGTCGGACTCGCGCACGAATGGTTTCGTACCAGAAACGAGCAAAAAAACGTGTTAGTTGTATGGGAGCCACATCAAACGTTTATATAATTCTAGATTTTAGTATTTTTTGTTTTAGCGGCCACAGAAGTACACCATCTGTGAAAATTTCACCTGTCATGTTATCACGGTTCATGACAGCCTGGTGACAGACAGACGGGCGGACTTATGGACGGACAGCAAAGTTTCAATAGTAATAAGGTCCCGTTTTTACCCTTTAAGTACGAAACCCTAAGATGTAGTAGGTTAGCGATGGTACATTTAGTTTGTATGATATTTCAACATTATTCTGAGCTATGATGATGATGATGAGCCCTCATATCGATGTATTGACTACTAAACAGATAACTAAATAACCTATTAGCGCCAATAACATAATAACTGTAGTCGAGCGCAGCGCACCATACGTAATACGCACGGGTATAGTAATATGGCACTGCGCTAGAAATTTATCGATCAAGTAATTCGGTAACCGCGGCGTGTCATTGCCGCCCTCCGCCGCCGCAAAGTTTAGTTAATAACAACAATCAATTAGCATCGATTGTATCGACTAATTCGATTTTATTAAATAATAATCGCACATCTCTAGTAGTGAAGTGACGTTGTATTGACATGACATGACAAGTTGACAAAATGTCACTGTGGATTGTGTGTGTGGTATCGTAGTGTTGAATCAGTCCTGATTTTCCACAATTTTCTATTTATATTGAGGGTGAAACTAAGTTATAGTCATTATTTCAACACCGCGTAGTAGTAATAATCTTAACATATTAAACAAATACTATGTTTTAAGTTAAAAATGCTCTACTTGAGATTTTTGACTACAACCATTGTTGTTTCGCAGATTACTTTCGTATTTTCACATGATCATCTTCTTGAAGGCATTTATTGTGGAAAAGAAAATTGCTACGAAGTGCTGGGAGTGACAAGAGAAGCCACTAAATATGAAATTGGTAAAAGTTACAGACAACTTGCTAAAAAATATCACCCGGACCTGCATAGAGATCCCGATGACAAAAAGGTAGCAGAAGAGAAATTCAAACAAATCGCCACCGCTTACGAAATACTCCGAGATGATGAAGAAAGAACTGATTATGATTACATGTTGGATAACCCTCAAGAATACTATGCTCACTACTACAGGTACTACCGTCGTCGGATGGCACCTAAAGTTGATGTACGAATTGTGTTAGCAGTGACTATATCAATAATATCTATTATACAATACTATAGTGCCTGGTCAAATTATGACACAGCTATAAAATATTTCATGACAGTGCCAAAGTATAGGAATAAAGCTCTAGAAATTGCAAAAGCTGAATTAAACGAAAATCAAGGAAGAAATAGGAGAAACAAAGCACAGATGAAAGAAGAACAAGATAAAATAATAAGAAGAGTAATAGAAGAGAACATGGATATAAAAGGTGCTTATGCGAAGCCTGAAATCATGAATATACTTTGGGTTCAGCTGATAATTCTTCCTTATACCATTTCATACTATATTTACTGGTATTTGAGATGGTTTTGGAAATTTACGATATTAAAACATCCATATGGGGAAGAAGAAAAGCTTTATTTAATTAGAAAATATATGAAATTAGGACAACATCAGTTTAATGCGTTAGAAGATGAGAAAAAAGAAGAGTTTTTAGAAGAAGAGTTGTGGATCAAGGAGAATTATAACAGATGGAAACAGATCCAAGATGAGAATGCTAAGAAGGCTTTAGCTGAAAATAACAAATACAAACAATATAGAAGATATATAAAGAACCATGGAGTTGGTCGTATGACATTTGATGACTCGTGATACCAAATGTGTTGTGATTACTTAATGAAATCCTTGAAATCTCAATATTTGTTATTTGATTGGGCTCAGAAGGATTCTATCATGCTATTGACAAATTTAAAATTTTAATGTATTATAATTATTTATTCACAAAAATCAGAGTAAATAAAAATTACATATTTATTACAGAAATCCATACCTTTTATTTCTTTATTTTTTTTTTATATCTATTTGTCTCAACATGTACTACAATTAGTTACATACATTTTATTCATACACTCATAGTTTACATTCATCACAAATGGCATTTTATTAAGGCATTCTAATAAACACTGGATGCTTTATACATACCATCCGACAAGGCAAGTCGTCATAGAAACACGCAACCACATATGTCTCATAAAAAATATACAGATCTTAACACAAGCTGATGGTAACTTAAGATTAACACTGAATTTTTCAACATCTACACGCAAAGACAAATGTGATTGCAGTCATACACATATATGTGAAAATAATTTCAAAATACTATTTACAATAAACTGAATGAATACACATACATTTACAAGCTCTCATAATTCAACATTAAAATTATTAATTACTTACAAATAGCTTGCATTTGGCAGTGCAGTTGTGATATATAGCTCCAAAAGTCACTCACATTACAAATAAAAAGAGCCAATTTGGAATGTATTTTAGATTAAAGTTTTGTTAGTTACAAATTGTCCTAACGGCAAATCAGAAGGTTACTTTATAAATTACAAATAGATTTTAAAATTTAACTGTTATAAATCAATAGTGGAAAATGTCTGTATTGAATGAATTGACGTGCTGATTGTACTATTACAATCATCAGGTACAGTCGTCGACATCAAATATTTATGATGATCTATTTAATATATATAATTTTATTTAGTTCTAAATACGGCACCATTATTATTAGACAAGCTATGTTCCTATATTAACAAAACTTATTTATCACTGTACTAATCGTCTGATTTTTAATATTTATGAATAGATACAGCCAACAACACGCGAGGTTATAAACACTCAAATTACTCCATTTGATCAACCTTTTAGTGAGGCGTGTGTCTCGCGATACACGGTACTACATATTGCGCAAAACTAGCCGCACACCAAAGATATCTAAATCAATCGAGAGTAGAATTAACCAACTGCGGATATTCGACATATTGTGGTAACCTGACGTGATGTTGTGTGTACAACATAATTACTTTCAGTTACATTATGAATATCACTGTCTACTTTTGAAACAATCTTTTAATGAATGATCTTTTTGTTTTTTAAAAAACAATTTGTCAGTGATTATATAATAAATGAGTCGTTACATAATAGTCGTCATATTCAAAAGAATTTCGAAGGCAAGAATATAATTAAAAAGTCTAATTCTATTATGTTGTTAAAGCTTGAAACTTGAGATTAATAATTAGAATAATACAGATCAAATATAGAAATTTGATATTAATTTTTAATGTTTCAGCTTGTTGCTATTTCTTTTTCCTGTAAAGTTACATGTAATTACAGTACTATAATTTAATTAATCAGTACACTATACACTCAAAATTACAATTTTTTTAGATCATACAATAATGATTTGTACTAAATTAACGAGTCGGCATAAAATATTTGGGCACAGTAAAGAATGAAATACAAATTGAGCATATAATATATATTGGAATATCTATTAATGAGGTCGTTTAGAACAGATGTTCCCAAACTGTTCAATTTCAAAATTTTACTGATTTTTAGTACTTTGCTAATTTGACTATACCCATTGTTTAGTCATCGTGACCATGCACCAATATGACACCGACTGTCGAATATCGCTAAATTAATGCGATTTTTTCCCTTTAAAAGTACTGTTGTTGAGTTCTAACTCGCGAGGTGTTCGCACGCCTATAGTTCAGGACTTCCGTAGCATCAGGCACCTTGGCGGAGATATCATTATATTTAGCAATGGAATAAATACAGGATGTGTAATAGAATTATACGACATCTCTATAGTATACATATTTCTGCATTGCCTTGGCTTAAATTTCACTCTTCATAACATGTATGTATCAATATATTTTATCAATAACGTCAATTACATTATTTACACAAATCATACAAATACAAAGCCACACTGTATACCGTACGATCCCCACAAACCGGACGGCGGCGCAGCACGTCGGAGAGTATTTCACACTGTGCTAAAGGAAATTCAGACTTGTATGCAATAGGCTAGTTGACTAGTGTTTTTTTTTTAATTTATTTTATAAATAAACAGTCCATTAACATCTTAATAATAATGTAGAAGTAACATCATGTCTGTAATTATTACTTTGGGAGATACGGTGCTATATTTGAGCAAGTGTGCACTAACGCCACGAAGTGACGTCACGCCTTGCCACAATAGCAAAAAACGTCTGGCCAATTTTTGTTAATTGTGCGTTCATATTTAGTTGTAATGTTTTATGTAATTAATACGTATTTTAGTAAATTTTTGACATTTATTTTCTCTTCTTTTTAAAGTTTTCAAAGCGTGATATTTTCCAAATTAACATAATTGAAATTTGTTTTGTTAAATATTTATAAGTTAAAATGGTTTATATTTTCCCAACATATAACAGGAACCTGTATCTCCACGAGGTCGGGTTCCAGCCGTCGGGCGGACGCGGTCGGCTACTGGCGCGTTAATACGCCGCCGCTCGATCACTGGAGATATCGTACATAATAGCTTTATTGGTACCATTATTACATCATTATACAAACAGTATACACAAAAATATGTTATTTTACATACCTTCACTTTTGCAGGGCATTGTCGTTTTTTTTATATAATATTTACTTCAATATCATCAGACTTTTAACTTTCAACATTTGCCATGAATATTAGAATTATATGATGCATTAATATAATTTCAGTTTCTTTAGAAAACTAAACAATTTTTATCACGATCAAAGTTAACACGCTTTATAAATTGATAAGTAGTTATATTTAAAATAAACTATATTATATTTTCTAAATTGTACGTTTATAGAAGATAAATGTACTATGAATATACGCTATAACTTTTAGGTTTTGTGTTAGTACATCAAGTACTATAATTTATATTCAGTTTAAAACTTTATTACAATTGAAATAATAAAGTTAATAAATTATATCCAACCTGACTGTACTATTTAATATCGAGATCAATTTAGTGTTGACGCATCACTATAATTTAATTAGTTGCCATATAATAATTAAATACACAATTATATTAATAATAATAATAATACTGCTCTTGTTGAGTTCAACAAACATCACGATCTACGCAATGGTCACTTGCACTGGTTCTCAACATTCGAAGCATAACGTACCACAGTAAACGTCCGATTCCAGGAGCGCACTATCTATATATGTACATAAATGTCCCAATATGGGCATTAAAGTGTGAGCAAATAGTCCAAATTTAAAAAGTTCAAGTAAACTAGGGCAAGTGTGCACTAGCGGCGGGCGCGTTTGTTGCGCGGTCGAACCGCTACGTGCAGCGCGCGTCCTCAGACGGGCGTCTCGTGGTCTGTCTCTTCGATCCGCCCGAGACGCCACGCATTTGGGTCCGTTGCTGAAGACGAGATTAAAAAATATTTTTAAATTACAATAAAAAATATATCAAAGGAGTATAGAATGCTATGCTTTATATTTAGTACTTTCAATTTAATTTTTTTTTATTGTTATTATCGGCCGTCATTTTAATAAGACATGAAATTATTACATATTATAATTAGTCATTGTTGCAAGTATAACAGCTGAATGTGCATAAGGTTCATTATCTGTACAGAGTTAATTCTCATATATAGATCATCACATTTATAACTCGGTTATATTCGATAAAGAATAATCCGTCATTGTAAACAAACTTTCTCATACTTATAATATTATAATTAATAATTATTATTATATAACTGGCCAAACTCAACTTATTAAAGTATATAGATAACTTATGGTATTTAATTGTAACGCATTAACTAGGTACCTACCGTGCGGTTGTTTAGCGAGTAGTGTTAATTAGTGAAAGTTCCACTATGGGTAGCTCATCTAAAAACAGTTCAAATACTTCAAATACTGAGGTTTTGGACTTCTGTATACCTATATATATTCGAGGACCCCTGGGGGGCGCCAAACCACAGTTTCAGAATTTAATTTCATAATTGTGACGTGTCGACGATGACAAATATTAAATATCGCATATATCCGAACTACTATGTGCTGTGCTTTTGATATTTATATGATCTCATTCATAAGGTATATTTAGATATTATAAACTATTATTGACCAAAGAGGTGTTATAAATCGTGACACGAGAATTAATAATTTATACGACTGTGAAATAAGATTCAAATTAATAATTGCGTGTGACAGCCCTATAACATTTGTTAATTATAATTTTTTCACTTTATCTTCCCTTACTATGTATCATAGAGATTTTATGAGGTATGATTTTAGTAGGGGGTAACAAAACTAAATTCGCATTTGAATATTTGCAAATGGTGCGTGCGACAGGGTGAAAACAAATAAATAATAAAATAAAAATTACCTTTGATAGTCGAATCTCTCCAAACATGCTTTGGAAATTGGAATTTAGGAACGGGATTTAATGGAATAAAGCTCAAAATAAACTTGTTAATATCTATCGTTAATTTCTAAATTTATTAATTAATATAATTTAAAGCGGTCGGTAAATTACGATGAATAGACAAAATTGTAGGTTATAATAATAGAAGGTTTGGTATTATATGAAATGTATTACGTTAAACTGCAGCTTCCTTTCCTCCAGAATAGAATAACAACAGCTTTTCGTCTATTCATCTCGAATATTAAAATATAGTTTACACATGCAAAAGTTAGTAATTACGATATAATAAAATACATATTAGTACAAATAGACTAGGACATTTTACGTAATGCTAGCTAGCTACACATGCTTACACTATAGGTTCTGTCTTGATTAATAACAAAAAATACGACATGAAATTTCATTCATTTTATCATAAGGGCGAAACTCCATCTCCATCAACCGGGCGATGACAGATCGCGACTCGGAGAGCATTACACAGTGTTCTAAAGAAAATTCAGACTTTTATACTGTTGTTACGGTTTACGCGCTCCGTTTCCAGCAGACGTACCCATCGGGTGGACGCAATCGATTAGTCTGTCTCACAGAAGAAGTCCCGCGGCAATTTGTGGCACCAAAATGACAGACCAGCCATATTATCTTTGTCAGACGTGATTGGTTCATATGTATTTTCACTTTGATTGAATATATACATTTTTTATTTAATTCCACTCATACTATTCGTAATAGCGTGTGCAAAAGTCATTAGTTAATTTTACACAAAATTTTAGATTTTACACAGAATCTCCCACCTCGAATAATAGGAGCTCGTTCGTGCATAATAAAAACCATGTACAGTCAAGTACACAATTTTGCCATTTTGAACCGATATTTTTGTTACAAGTAATTAGTTGCTAAAATGAATAATATATTTTTAAATTTAATGGTTATCTTTTATACTACTGCTCCACGTTCATTAGCACGCGTTCTATTCTTGCAACGCTTCAAAAACGTTTTAGTTAGGAATCATAACATTTATGCCACCAGAAGAGTCGTGCAAAAATCTTCAAATCATTTAATCTCATCGTCGTGTCGTAAATAAGATAATAAGTTCAAATATATAATTAATCAAGTTTTATGAATTACGCAGATAGAGAAACATAGACGTTACATTCTAAGTTAGTAAAAGTATATAAAAGTCCTTATTTTCTTTAATAAAAAGTGAAAATAATTTAATATATAAATTCCCTTTTTATAAAATTTGTAAAATAATGAGATGCAATTATTCGAATGATACTAATTAAAAATTACAATAAATAAATAGCATTCTAAATTCAAGTACGTAAATCTATTCATGTTAATGGGTATATTTAGAGATATCTCCTTTTCACGTTAGCTGTACATATACATTATTAAAATATACATGCTTTAAACTGCATAACTATGAACAAAAATTAGTGACTACTATTTTTCTATTAAAATATTATTATTAAGTGTGAATATAAAATATACAATTAATATCAACCATGTACGTCATAAGTAATATCAGGATATTATTTATCTTTTAAAACGTTTAACAAAAATAGACTCTAATATAAACTCATTAAAGTGATTATTCTTAGTTATGCATTTTAAATTAGTCGCTCAAGTGCACAAGTAATTCGTACATATCTGCGTGATGGAAACGTGACATTAATAAGTGATAAGGTAGAATATAAGCAGAGACTTGAAAGGGGCGGGACGTATATAAAGTAGGTAGGAAGCCCGCTTCGAAGTAACAACAAAAATTATACATATATTTAATTACTTTTATCTATTAAAATTATACTATATTTAATAGTAATACTATATAAGAAATATTTTAACCACGTATGTATAGTCAAATTAATTCAAGATTCGAAATAGCACACAAAAATATTTAAAAAAATTAAATAAATGAAAATCAAAGTGATAAAAAATATTGCAAAATTTCATTATTTGGCCATGTTGGCTGTTGTTTTAAGAGATTTTTAAATGGGGCTCGGAAGTTAGTCGATAAATAGAGAAATAGTAGGGAGGTACAAATAAAACTATAAATTAATTATAAAAGTTCCTTCGTAGCAGGCAGGTGTGGATGTGGTATAGAATATTTTAAAAAGTGTAGGGAAGCTAAAGATAGAGAGAGAGAGAGAGAGGTTAACTTCTACTTTAATCTCCCTCCTTATCTACCGGACACACAGCGGGACGATATCCTTCTTTGAATATAGTCTCGCGTAATTTATAAGTTTAAATGGTGAGATTATTAGGGGCTAAGGTGAGGAGAGGGTTATAGTAGAGCAGTTTCGTCATAGTGATCATACAAAAGTTTATGGTATTTGTAGAAGGGTAAGTAGATATTACGGGGGTAAGGTCGACATATAGGGAAAGATACGGTGTCTATATGGCGGGTTTGTAAGGGTTTAGGTATGTATGGAGGGTGAGAGAGACGGATATAGAGTGTAGAGGTAAGTGAGAGGGAGGTCACAGTAGAGGGGTATCGTCGCGCGGGCGCGGCGGCGGCGTGGCGGCGCGCAGCAGCGGCGCGTGTCCTGCGCGACAACCCGACGGTAACACAACGCCACATTGTAATATCACCCTTGCCGATTATTCTTTAAAGCTCATATTCGAGCACAGACTACCGACGAGACATTTGACGATTACAAAGCGTTGAGACCAATTTAAATTTCGAATTTCTTAACTCTTAAGCAATGTATATAGTCGTTTTCTAGTTCGTCGATTTATTTAAATTAAACCCTGAAAATCCGTGAAATAACGCAACGAGTTCTATAAATTTAGTATTATACTTAAGTAAACATAAAATTGATAATAAATATTACGAATCGTCAAGGCTTTTTTTTATTATGAGAAAAGATTACATATTGTATCCAATATAATATCAGCTGTCTACAATCAAGTTACTTAATAGTTATCTTAATAGTTCTTTTGAAAATTTCAAAAAAAAAAAAAACAAATGAAATGAAATAAAGTAATATGAGTCAAATATCTCGTCGTATCATCATAGCGGGTTACATAATATTGCGAAGTGTTTCGTGTGTACGGCCCTTAATGATCGATTCTTTATAAAATTAACAATCGATTATTTAACCCATCGATTAGAAATAATATATTTTTATATTCTATACAACCATTGTTCGAATGATAATTTTAAAAAGAATCGTACAATAATGATTAGCGAACATCGATATAATGAACAACCACTCGAGTACATCTGCTTCTAGCTACTGAAAAAAACTACTTACAATTCGAGCAAAAAAAATAATGATAATGAAAAATGTACTCTATGCTTATACAAAAGAATCTACAATAAAGAAATTGAAAATGACGCGCTATGTATACTAGCGATATTTTATGAAAAGAACATCGAAAAGCAGACATACTAAAGTAATGATCGTCATAAACACAGTATTAACACAAAATACAACATTCAATAAACATCCAATAAAACCAATGTATTTGTTTTTGGTGTGATTCGATAATATGGAATAGAATCTTGTTTGAATTTCAAATCCGATATTAATTCATTCGAAAAAGGATCTAATTTAATTATGATGTGATGGCATTCGTTCTATTCTAATCGAACCCCCAATAAATAATAAAAATTAATTAATGTAAATGAAAGGATTGATTCTGGTATAGTCTTAAAACAGTGTTTTTTTACTTTCCCCAAGGATTTTTCACTTCGAAATTTTAAATAAATTTGATATCAAATTTGGCGATGCTTTTTTGTAACTATATTAGCTAATGACATTAGATTGATATTACTATTAAATCTCAATTCTGCGCATGTTCAACGTGCTAAATAAAAGTAATGCATACGAAAATTTCGATGGCATTTTGCTCAATCATAGATGAGGAATCCGAGACCCCCAGGGGACCGTCTACGACATGTTAAGAAACACTGCCTTAAAACATAGCTTTAAAACTCTATACAAATTAATGTAAGATATAAATATCTAATACCCAAAGAATTTACTGTTTCAGATCAATATTGTTTATGGTGGAACACTTTATTAGCTTTGAATGTCAAAAGATGGCGCCTGAGTTTAATTTGATGATTTAATTACTTCTTCAATTAACAAATAATTTTTATTTGTAGTAATGTTTGAGCTCATAATGCAAATGTTATAAACTAGTTGTTTCCTTTCGTATATGACATGTCTTTAAAATCGGTCCAGTAGTTTTGGAGTTCATTCAAATAAACAAACAATCAAATTAATAATCATATTTCGGCAAATAAAGTAAAATATTGTAAGTAATATTACAAATACACAGTAAATAAAAGTAGTTTATTTTAAATATTTGGATACCAATCGGGTTTCATCTCTAAAAATTTGAGAACCACTGATTTAGAAAAACTAAATTCATAGATTAATATTATAATGTTATAATCGCGTACCATATTAATAAAAGATAACGAGCATTTTTATTTAAAAAAAAAACATCCTTTTAGACAATTAGCGCCATCTGTTGACAGACGAAAGGACACGATTACGTTCCCACATTATTAAAAAAACATGCAAAAATAAACAAAATCCTATTTAATACACTACCTTACCTACTGTCAACTGTGAACTCATCCCAGAGGTTTTGAATTGACCCGATAACTCGATGACCGTGTAGATAATAAGTAGTTCTAGTTTTGAAATAAGTTCTTACGGTGTTTTTGACACTTTTTTATTTCAAGACTTAACTTCAGATCCACTTCACGATTTCATTATTTTGATACTCAATAGATGGCGTTATTGTAATAGAAGTGTTTGTTTCATCATCGGCCTATTAATGTCAAATTAAATAAAATTATGGATCAAATAGGATGAATGCACTATGAAGTGTACGCATATTACGTACCATTTTTAGGATTTCCTTTTTTAATTTTCATATGCTTGGGAGAGCTAAGGCTGCTAATTGTTCTACTAGAGCATTTGTATGTTTGTTGTGTTCCTTTGATATAAATTAAAACTTAATATTATTATGAACTGGACATAACTACGAAAAACCATTGATAGCGGCAACAGATCTGATTGGCATTAATGGTTTAACGTGCCTTCCGAAACAGAGCTGAGCTGGATATAATAAATGTTTGGTCACCCATCTTACGACCATTGCTAATGTTGCTTAAACATTCTTCGCGCAAATTACAACATCAACACCATCTATTAGCATTGAAATATAATGAAACAGTGACATTCGATCTTGATATAAGGTCTCCCGCCGTAGATTTACGATGTGATGGCATAGAGTTTCGACTTTCACAATTGCTTGTAACAGCCTAAACTGAATAAATGATTGTGATTTGATACCATTTTGCTGATTTCTGCGCTAACTAAGAAAGATCGCCGAGAAGATATTCTTGAAGATTTACTAGTTAAGAACTTACAATCAGTTGTTCATAGACGACTTACTCACTTCGAATTGTGGAACGATTACTGTTCAGTGCATACTTGTTTTCCTTGTGTTCTGAGTCCGAGACTCTGAGCGAGGTTGCATACTATTAACGTTGCAAATTGGTAGTTATTGTGAGATTTGTCCAGGTGTTCCGTTCCAAGAATTCCATTTCACCAGCTCCTAGAATTGATAAGCTGACTGGATCGTGGGCAGCGTCTGATGGTACACTTACCCTGCAGCTGCCGGTTGAGCAGCGCGGTGATGCCGGGTCCGTCGCCGGGTTTCTTGACGACGAGCATGGGCTTGTCCTCGCCCTCTTCGTAGCTGTTCGGCAGGTGGCCATTGCTCACTGCCATCGTTTCGCTCACCTAAAGTCGACGCATAATCAAATTTGAAGTTGACCGATGATGGTGGTAATAATACTACCATCTACAGTTACGTGCCATATACGTGTAGGGCAATATTATTTTCTATAGAACAATATTGTAATATTCATGTATATTTATTTATTTCGACTTCATTATACAACACACTACAGACAGTTATAAAACAATATAAACATAAAAATCCTAATGGTATAGCAAACATCTGCGTAATCAAGTATTGGTAAGAGAGGGGACTGTGCAAGATAATAATTTTGATAGAAATTAAGTCAGCGCCGCAACGCTTCTGCAGTAGCAAACATTAGTAACTACTAACTTGTGCAATCTGTGGTCCCCAAGATAAAGGTATGTCAAATAATATCCCTAGATTTCAGACCGTGTCTGTAAATGGGATTATTGTTTTGTTTCAACTTACTGTCGACAGTTGCCCAAAATCAATCCAAGAAACAAAGTAAGGACTACCAATAAATAAACATTGAGTCTTCTTGGGGTTAATTTTCAGTTCAAAAGAGGACTTCCAGGTACGGGCCAAATGACCATTAATGTTATGAATAGCATCACCTCACCCAGTTTCTCTAATCGTTCTTACAGGTAAATTTGAAGGTCGTCTGCATACAAATGGTAGGTGGATGAGAGATTCTGGGTAGTGGAATTAATGATAGCACGCCATCTTGAGTAGACGCAGAGCACTATTCATAAAAAGAATCTCTAATGCGGACTCATTGCCGTCGTTCATGTAGATAACTATAAAACTAGTCAATAACCATTGGAGACATGTCGAGGGAAGTCAGCAAGACTAGCAAGATGTCAAAATCAACGTTGCTGAAAGCATTACTAAAATCTAGTAATGCCAGGACTGTGAGTCTACGAATGTGCTCGCTGATTTTGACTAAGGCGCTAGCTGTGCTGTGGCCGGGATGAAAACCGAATTGTGAAGGATCTAATAGGTTATAGTTATTCGGCAACTCACTTATTTGTTTATTAATAAGACGCTCGACGACTTTGGAAACTTAGGTAGTACAAAAATGGGTCAGAAATTGGACATCGTGACTGGATCCGATTTTTTGGTAAGAGGAACGATTTGAGCCTCTTTCCATATTCTTGAAAAAGTTGCAGAAGTAACGGACTTGTTGAGTATTATTGTTATGATAGGTGTTAGGATATCAAGCAAAGGAAGGATCACATTATGGCCAATATTGTCATTACCGAATACTTTTGAATTTCTTTTCGTTTCTATTAAAAAAAAAAATCAATATTGTAATATAGTTTGCATGTAAGGCAGACTGCCAATAGGATCGATGTAATCGATTCGGAGGATCTAAATATACAGCTAGACTATCACCAAGCTCTGGATGTAGAAGTTATTTCTCTTTCGATTATGAAATAAATAGGTCATAATTTTATTAATAAACTATGGAATTATAAAGACGAAATATATTTATACATATACCCACACCGAAACAATAAAGAGAATCATTTCATAGGTAACATCACCTGCATAAGCTTGTGCACTACGTCTCTCCCTAGTATGTGTTCAAACACCGCCTGCAGGAACTCGTCCGACATTATGGACAGCTTTAGCTTGTCGCGATGCCACACAAGCACGCGAGATTCTTCCATCGCCATTATTGACACCTGAAAATAATATCCACCTCATTAAACTACATGACTACATCTAACTACAGGAAAATATATATATTCACTCCAGATTCCTTGCAAGGCAGGCATACAAAACAGAGCGCCACAATGCGCCGTATTTATGAGCCGTTAGACAATCTAGTAAGCCAGTACAGTATTAGCCTCGTTTAAACGGTAACAATAAACCATTGGACTGTCTTCGAACCAGTAATTAAGCCAGGTATAGGAGGGCAAATGACTGCGCTCCACCTGATGGTAAGCGGAGGCGTAGTCCAAACGTGAGGACAGCTAGTGAAAACAGTACGTAGGTACTGCACTAGCCAACCTCACCTTGCCGACCTGCAAGGTGCTTCTTCACGCCCCGCTTGAAGGACCCCATGTCATAGGAAGGAGGGAATACATGGGCCGGGAGACAATTCCATTTTTTGGTAGTACGACAAAGAAATGAGTCGCCAAATTTCTTTGTACGCGAAGGAATCGCTGCCACAGTTAGTTGGTGGCAACGCAAACCAGCACGTGTGGTCCTGAGGAGGAAGGGAGATGGAGGGATAAGCGAAAAGAGTTCTTCAGAGCATTCACCATGGTAGAGACGGTAGAAGACGCTGAGCGAAGCAACGTCTCGGCGCAGTTGCAGGCTTTCTAGGTTCTTGGTGACTTCACCATTGCCAATAATGCGTACTGCGCGGCGCTGCAATCTATCCAAAGCATCGAGTAAGTACCTAGCGGAGCCATCCCAAAGGTGCGAGCAATACTCCACGCATGACCGGACCTGCGTTTTGTATAGCAGGCACAGTTGTTCGGGCGTGAAAAAACGCCGCACCTTATTCAGGACACCGAGTTTACGAGATGCTGTTTTAATAACGGACTCGATGTGGTTTTTGGGATTCAGATCACAGCGCACTTCCATCCCGAGCATGTTGATGCTGCTCTGTAGAGGCAAGGTTGTGCCCTGAAGAGAGGGAAGGGAAGGGAATGGAGGGGTCTTGGCGGTAAATACGCAAACCTGAGTTTTCTTGGCATTGAACTCAACCAGATTTTCAGCACCCCATTTCGATATGAGATCCAGAACGTGATTGAGCTCAATGACAAGATTCTCCCTTTTCTCCAGGATTTCCGCCCGTCCGACTGTAGGAGCCCCGTGATATCCCACATGCACTGTGCTATCGTCTGCATAGCAATGGATATTTCCAAGTGGAAGCATGTCATTGATATGCAGCAGAAAAAGTGTAGGGGATAGAACGGAGCCCTGAGGCACACCGGAGTTGACTGACATAAGCTGTGAAGAGCATCCGTCAGAAAGAACACGGATTTTACGCTCACGCAGGAAGTCGGCTATCCAGGTGCAGAGTTGAACGGGCAGACCGTAGGCCGGAAGCTTGGAGAGAAGTCCCTTGTGCCAAACCCTGTCAAATGCCTTAGCAATGTCAAGACTGACAGCCAAGGACTCGCCGCGCTTGTCGATAGCTTCACCCCAGAGGTGCATGACGTGCGCTAGAAGATCACCAGTTGATCGTTTTGGTCTAAAGCCATACTGACGATCATTTACAAGGGAGTGATCTTCTAGGTATCGGATCAGTTGGGAGTTAATAATCCTTTCCAGGACTTTACACAGCACAGAGGTGATAGCTATAGGGCGGTAGTTTGCAGGGTCTGACCGATCTCCCTTTTTGGGCACTGGCTGCACAATGGCCTCTCTCCAAGCCTCAGGTACACGACCCGAAGAAAGAGATAGCTGGTATAGGCGCGTAAGTACAGGAGTCAACTCCGCTGCACACATTTTTAGAACAACCGCAGGAATGCCATCAGGACCACTAGCTTTCCGGACATCGAGTGACTGTAGTTCCGCACGCACATCACGCTGCCTGATATGAATATCAGGCATAGTGAAGCCACTAGAAGGTAACGTTGGTGGCAGTGCATTACAGTCATTGATTTGGGAATTAGCCGCGAAGAGGCTTGCCAAGAGGTCGGCTTTCTCCTGCGGCTTGTGAGCTAATGTTCCATCTGGACATCGAAGCGGTGGCAGCGAGGGCTGGCAGAAATTGTTTTGCACGGCCTTGGCGAGGCGCCAGTAGCTACGGGAGCCCGTAGGGTGCGTAACTAGCTCATGGCCAATACGTGCGACGCGCTGGGCATCCGCTCTGATGTAAGCCTTCTTACAGGACTTGGAAGCCTGATTGTAGGCTGCTTTTATTGAGTCGATATCGGGATCCCTCCGAGCACGACCCCTGATCCAAGCTCGATATGCCAGCTGTTTAGATGCAACAGCGTTAGCACAATCGCGATTGAACCAGCGGTTGTGTTTGCCCATACTGATCAGATCGGAGTGCGGAATGTAGTATTCCATAGCAATACCGATCTCCTCAGTAATAGCAACGGCGCTCGTTGTCGGATCCTTCTCACTAAAGCAGCGCTGCTTCCAAGGAACGGATGCAAGGTACTCGCGCATGCCGTCCCAATCCGCTGAGCCATAGTGCCATACGCGTCGTCGAGTCCTCGGAGGTTGAGGGGGCTCGATTCGCGGCACTTTGGTGGATATCAAGCAGTGGTCGGAATTGCCCAGTGGGGCACGAACATCAACCTGATAACCGACGGGATGGCTCGTAAGCAGAAGGTCCAGTAAGGAAGGCGTTTGACCGACTATGTCTGGGATCCTGGTGGGCTGATCGACCATTTGAGTCAAGTCATGCGTGAGAGCGAATGCGTGGGCTGATCTCCCCGCATGGTCCGTCTTGGAGGAACTTAACCACGATTCGTGGTGAGCGTTGAAGTCCCCCAAGAAAACCAGTTCTGCGTTAGGATACTGCTCCTGCGCGTAATCTGCCGCCCGACTGAGGTGGTCATAAAGTCGAGTTGTCTCCGCATCGCCAGTGTGGGATCTGTAGAGGCACACATAGACTCGAGTCTGATGACCTAAGTCTATATGCACCGCCAGGAGGGAAAAGGAAGGGTCTTCTAGGCAGCGCAATCGGTGACAGCAAACATCCGCCCGGACAAACAAGCATACACCGGCTTTCGCTTTGAAGGACTCTTCAAGTGCGTAGCCGGGATAGTGAAGGTAGCTTGTATCGGCCGGGCGGAGAATTTGCGTCTCCGTCAGAAACAACATTGCAGGCCGTGCTGTCTCTAGGTGTTGGTGGACAGCATTGAGGTTGGCATGGAGTCCCCGTATATTAGAGAACTCAACCTCAAACAGCGAAGGCGTGGGGTTGTGCACCGCTGTACGACCGGAACGTGTTGCTGTGGCTGCCATAAGGATAAGGGGTGAGGAGACGTGAAGCGGGAGGGCATTGTCGCGACTGCTCCAGTCAAAAATATGGGCGCCTGTTTCCCCAGGTGTTGCCCACAGAGGAGTAGCACCGATCCGCCAGACGGAAGGGCCCCCGTACCCCCCCGGGAGTGGCCGCCGGGACCCACGCTCCGGTCACCAACCGGCACGACGGTCCACCCCAAGATTATGCGTGGCATGATAGGGCAGCCTCACGAGCTGGTTAGGCACGCTTGGGCCCCTGTACTGTACCACGGGCGGCCAGCGGTCAGCCGTTTCTACGGGTCTCCCTGGCTGGCGGGTCGATGCAGTCCTCCTGGCACTGGTTCGACGGAGGCACCCACCGGACCGAAACAATCGCGGCAATGTCGTCCCGAGCTCTGGTTGTACGTTGGCTGATCCCGAAACGCGCTCTACGAGCGAGCACTTCACGGGTTTTTCACCATGTGTGTACGGTGGTAACTAACCAGGCGGGATTAAACCCTACCACCAGTTGCGAGCAGATCTGAGCTCGAATTCCTTTAGTCGCCTCTTACGACACCCACAGGAAAGGAAGGGGCGGTGAGTTATGTATTCTTTCTCCGTCACCGCACTTATGTGAAATTTATATCTCGCTTTTTTATGATCTCTGATTCTGACATCAACTTTCTACACTTTGAAAGGTCTAAACTTCTTCCATCTCTTTCCATTATCGAGTTTTATATCAGCACAAATAATTAATTCTAAGATCTAGCTACGGTATATCCAAGTTCCCTGATTAGGATATATCCGAAAGTTGTTTCATTCAAAAGGTAATCATTAAAATAGGACTATGTGGTGTGTGTACACACAGAAATGAGGATATCAGGGACAAACCTAGATGTGAGATGCAAACTCCTCAATATTACATATGTGACAAATGTGACTTGACCAAGGGGGGCCTTTGACGTCACTCTGGGTCGGGCAACGATACTTTTAAAATAAACAAAAAATCCACCGATAAAAAGGGGTTATAGATTCGGACTGGTGAATAGCAAAATGTTCACACCTTTCTTTGGTAGATTGTCCAATAACGCGTGGTATTGAGCCTCAGGAAGCCGCCGGTTTAGGGTGGATATCCAACACTAGTTCAAATTTTAAGTTGTCGCGTCGGTAACCGTCATTTCGATATTTAAAGAGTACAAAATACCGAATAAATTCATTATTACTAGAATGAATTTTTGCACCGGCGAATAGTGTGTGTGCGGCAAGCATAACCGCGCTTTTTTTAAGTTGTAACGCTTTAGGATGAGTGAACAACATAAATTAAATACAATTATGTAATTAACTTCCGCAAATTGACAATAGATTCTCCAGTAAGAGTATTAATATTTTCAAAATCGCAAATTAAGACTGAGATAAACAATTTTTTTATCAGAATTTTACTTGGAAAACTTAGGATCGAGTTTTCAATTCCCTTTACGATGAGTGAACAACATAAATTAAATACAATTATGTAATTAACTTCCGCAAATTGACAAAATATTCTTCAGTAAGAGTATTAATATTTTCAAAATCGCAAATTAAGACTGAGATAAACAATTTTTTTTACAGAATTTTACTTGGAAATCTTAGCATCGAGTTTTCAATTCTCAGAAAATAAGTCAATGAAATCTGAGAAGCCGTCTACAACACAAAAAGCGTAACGAAATATTTAATAAAAAGCTTTTAAAATAAGTAATACTTTTTAACGGAGGACCGAAAATCATTGAAAAACTCAACACAATAGATTAAACAGAAACCAATTAATTGTTTAGAAGACAGTGAATTTATTGATACCCCGCGAGTGGGCGCTATAACAATGGAGGATTCTGATAAATTTTGTGTGGGGCAAAATTATATATGTGACGTCGCGAGATCGCTGTAACACCTACCCGTTTACGACAGCGTTCATTCATAACAAATGATAATATTGAAAGACCTTCCTATAAATATCAATAGTAGAATTTGATATTGATATGATTTGCGCTACTGTAACATCTAAAAACGTCCATATCCGTGACAGAGGGGTATATTTTGTGTAGCCGACAGTAAACGAAAATTAATTCATTTTTTTTTCTAGTAGTGTTTAATATACTATTACCGATAGTCACACTTTTATGCTTATTATATTTATTATATTGCTTAAATTGATTATGATACATCAAATATTTTATACTATATGTCACACCCTTCTTACTTTAACATATATAGAATGATATTAGTTTCAGAGGGCCGTAACGTCATAGCGGCGCCATGACAGATGTAGTGCTCCCATGATCATATTTATGAATGATATTTTTTAAATATTTTTTTAGATATATATTATTTAATATTTATAAAACAAAGGTGTCTACACCCCTATTAGGTTAGTTGCAATTTTCATAAAGTACGCGTTGCTAAGGTCATTATTACGACGTTAATTTTAATAATAATAAATGTTAATTTTATTCCTACAGAGGTCCTAATATAACAAGAACCTTATACACGATGACACGTAGATACCTAAAATTTGTGTCACACGACAAATAAATAAGATAAAAATAATAAAAAAAAAAATTACATTAATATATTGTGGTTAGTTACTATCGAGCCCATTGTTACAAGACAATCCTTATCCGTTTAATAATCTAATAACTTAGAATTGATTGCTTAGTTAAATTTTGTTACTTTATGACAAAACACAACAGCTAAATAAGTAGTTTAATCAAATCTGTGTCCACAATACTACTGACTCCCGTCTAACGGGACTTTAGACAGTTGATTATATTTTAAATGAGAATCAATATAAAAGTCATGTAAAAAAACATTCTAAAAAATTAAAAAACACATATCAAATACATTATATTAAATCAACGATTTCCTAAGACACTCAGAACAATAAAAAAATCCGGAAAAAACTAGATATTTGACAATGTGATTAAAAAGCGGCACGGCTACATCGACCACAAAATAATAGTGAAAGTATAACAACAATTATAACATAATGGTCGCATAACAGTTCATGCCCACGTGCGTCTGCGCAACATTGGACGTTCGCTACTTCCATCTGTATGACGTGTATATTTCGTTATGCTTATGATTAAGTGAAATCTCGCACAGCTGTTATTAAGAGTTAAAATAACATTGTTGAAGATGAACAATCTGATGATAGTTTTAAATACGATATGTGATAGAAATGGTTATAAATGTAATATCTGATCTTGACTCGCTAATTCGCTAGAGCGTGTTGTTTGATTATAAGGTACGACACAAAAGGTATGCCAAACTAAGACTATATTTACTGACATCAGAAATAAATTACGAACTAAAACTTTTTTATAGATAATATATAAAAACTTATTTTTTTATCATGATTCAAAATAAGATTATTCAAGACAATATTCACGAAAACTAAAAGGTCATATTAAATGGAAAAAAAGCTTTTTATTAGTGATAAAATATTTTTTGAATAACTGATGCAAACTTAAATATCAATTATTTATTTCATAAAGGCTTTTACAATATATCGTGCCATATAATGACCGTAGCGCCAAACAAACGTTACAACCCTGTGCTATAACTGTATGGAAACTGTCTAATACCCGGTAACAAAAAAAAACATCTATGATTTACCTGGAAATATTCATCTGTAGACACGCCGAACCACTCCGGCGAGTCCAGGAAGTGATGTGGGAACACTATGTGTAGAGCACGTTGATTCTGCGACACAACCAGCCTGGAACATTACACATTATCCTTCAATTCGTGTTGGAGAAATCTCTTACGTAGGTCTATTTGTTCCAATTATTGTTTTCTTCTTTCTTGGCTTGTTTCTGGACCAAATTAAAGATAATTCTTCATTGGCTTTGATTTTGTCATGCATGACACAAGCTTAGGTAAATATCGTTGTTACTGTTAAGTAAACATCTGCTGACGCTTTCAATAAATATATTGAATTTTTTTTTTTAATTTTTATTATATTTCATCAATTTTACGTTCACAATGCTATATTGATAACTATTTTAAAGAAAAATGCTTATCTTGGAGCATCTGGAAGATGGGTAGTATTATTATCACAAATATTAAATTATCTAATATTTTATTAAGAGTTTCCAAAATTTTATTAAAACATTTTTCTAAACAGGCAGATATTTTCATGGAATATTAAAGAGGACAGATGACTCTTAATAGTAGAAAAGAATGTCACATAAGTGAAGACGTCTTGGAGTTTCAAAAGCTTTAAACCTTACAGTGAAATTTTTCAATGTTTGTTGATATACTTGTGGTTTTATTTGAACAAATAATGTGCTCAATTGTGTTTTCTTTCAAATGTTTTGAGTTATTAGCAGAAACTAAAAAAAAGTTTACTGGTGTTAGATTACATGATATAGGTGTACATTTACCATCGTTCGATCAACAAACGCTTTCAAAACATTTATTATTGTTTCTGTTTTCAGATTTTCATAGTAAAAATAATTTGAATTACGAAGTACCTTTTTCGCGTTTTTTTTAGTTTGTTGTAGTTCGGGAGGACAGCAAAAGAACAAGTTACTTCGACAACACTTCAACTGGCATCACTGACCTTTTGTAGTCAGGAACAATCGCAACAACTGATTCTTGCCAAAACCAAAATATTTATAAAATGAACGACCAATTGCTAAAGTATTTTAATTCAAACGGAAATCTCAGAGATGCTACACTCATTGGCATTTAGATTAATTCGTAACCTATGGCGATATATCATATAGATAATCTAGCAACAAAAACATACCAGATGTACACCAGATTTATGTATCCTGGGCGAAAATACAAAACTCATTAAAAAGGTTATATTTAATAATGGGAAGGAGTGGTTTGTTGATAATATTAATGTTTTAATACACAAAGTTTAATAAACTGCCCGCTGACGGTCGTGAGAAGCGGCTAATTAAAATGTGTGCCGGACAAAACAGCGCAATGCGGTCAGCTTGGAACTAGAAACATTGAAGACAAGAGATTCACACCTCTTCGTACACTCGTACACAAAGGTTACGGTATGAATACCAATTTAGCTATGCCAAATTAATCTATTATTAGCTATAATAATTCCACGAAAACACAATTTAATGAATATGAATAGAACAGGAAGCTGCTAAAGTGAGATTACAATTTATTCGATCGTTTCTGCGAAAAGTTTAATTTGTTTCAGAGATAGAAAGCATTAAAAACAACAGTTCACGAATAAAAAACAAAAAATATTAACATCTGAAGAGTATCAGCCGATTCTTTGGAGAAAATGGAAGTTGTAAATCTCATTACATTTAATAAAATGATACAATGATTATAAGCATTAATAATAATATTTCTGGTATATGTAATTTAGACAACGTATAAATTTTAAAGTACTCAGAATAAAAATGACCTTAATAAAACTTGTAATATTAATCGCTATAATAAAGTATATTCAATTCAGACTTTATTTTTACTGTTCAATTTTATGCACAGACTTTTGGCTAAAGGCCACTCATGATTTCAGAGAAATGTTCCCAAACTGCCATTAATCGCACCGATATGCGACCAGACATGTTAAATCAGCGGTTGACCTTAATAATTATACATAGTTTCCAACTATCATAATTTCCAATCTTAAGTGATGTGATAATAGTTCAAATTCTCTTCGCAACTTCGTCAAAGTGGATTTACACAGTAATCCCTGAGGAACCATACAGTAGGATAAAAGTATTCTACGTTATAATCTCTTTGGGGTATACTTTACGTACCAAATTTCACCCAAACCTGCCACCTAACTCCTCTGGCTGTAACTCTAGCCATAAGATACGACTTTTTAGCAATGTTACAGTACTATTTTGTTTCATTTTACTACTTTCATATGTACATTAATAACTAAAGTGGGATGATAAAGAATGATGAATATGGATTTGACAGCATTGTTTCGACCTGAGTTATTACCCCAAATTTATGCACCCTAAAGACATGTCAAAATAATGAAATGAAACTAAAGTTCATCACAACATTCTATCGCAACGAAGATATCGCATGTCACACCTAGAGTTTATTTCTAGAGAGTTGGTGGTGGTGGTGATGGTTAGTTGGTGGTCGCATTCCAGTAGGCCTTCTCTGTTTCTTCAGAAACGAAGTCTTGAGTCGTTCTTATAATTTTGTTAAAATCGTATTCATGAAGATTATCTATGTATCACAGGTAGCGTCAGGTCCAACCTCTGCTGCATCATAAATTATCGAAAAGTAGACCATATGTTCTGCAACGCTAAATCTACAAAATAACAATAAATCGTGAAAATATTGCTAATTGCAAAAACTCTGGAACAGCTGGATCAATCAGCAATTTGATTGAAGTCCGATAATTTTATGAGGCGTAAAAAGTAAAAAAAGAAGGGAAAATATAATGTTACTTAATTATTAAGTTATTGCATAGAAATTAATTATAAAAAGAATATATCAATATACAATACTTTACATTGGGCAACAAAGGTACACCATCATGACAAATTGACCAACGTTCAACCATGAACGCTTACGATACCAAGATCTAATTTTGATATGATGCGTGTGAACGGAGCTTACACAGACTACAATGATGACAGTGAGCAGGTCTTGGGTTCGTTGTCTACCCATCACACCGTGACTGATGGTTATTATTCAAAAGCAGGACATTCGACTCTAATTTTACAACACTGAGAGATGATGTGAATGAAGTAAACAAAACAAAAAATGACACGGAGTATGAAGATAAGTACCATTAACCTTTATTATGAATGATAAACATCAATCATTATAATTTTAGTGTACTTATATCAAAATGAAAGGTCAAGGGTCGACAGATACGCCGTTTCCAATTTAATTAAGTGAAATTAAAAATCTACTTTCAGGATAATTAAATTTTATATAACATTATTATTGAGTATTATCTCTTTGTTTATGAAACACTAGCGGTTTTCCCACGTATGATGTAGGCTCCCGTAGATGAAAGAAGTTTAATGATGAAATACGTGTTTCCGAAGAATACCTCCTATAAACAAAGTTAAGAGCTTTACCTTTTTTTAATATTAGTACATACTAATACATAAAGAATCCTAAAATTTAAGGAATGTAAAACTCTTGCTTTAAGAGTGCCACTTTAACAACTCAGTAACAAAATTCATATAAATTGTTCTGTTAACGTTTCATAATATATTTTATGACGCTTAACTTGTTACATTTACGATAGGTAAACCACGTATAACGCGTGTAAGCGATTATGTTTTACATATAATTAACCAAAATTAATTAAATAGAACGGCCAATTAAGATCGCATCGGAGAAGCAATAAAATAAGTAATAAAGCACGATACTACCCGGAACAATAGAAAAACTTGCACGAACGCCTGTTCCGATTCAGAGTTAACCAATTTTTTCCAGTCGAGTAATCAAATGGAAGTCTCGCTTTTTAACGCTACCGTCGCGCAAACCTGAATCGTTATAAAAATGGATCGCGATCCTTGACATTATCCCATTCTACGAACTCGTATATAATGCCCGAAAAGCTAACCGGGGCTCCGATGCCGGGGAAAGGTCGCCTCCTAATAGAGTTTAGCGAAAATAAGGGCGCTCATTCAACCGCGACGTTATTTTTCAGTTTTTGCAACATATTTACATACGTCGTATTTATAATATGTGACAAAATCAAAGCAGTGATAATGTATCGATTCAACTGTATAGATGTAAACGAATGAAATTGAAACATCTTGCAACATTAGAGAGAAAGGAAAGAAAATCTGGAGGAATAAGAAAGCACAATACACATTTGAGTTAACGCATGTCCTGGTCATCTGACTGGCATGCGTCGATGTAAGTGAAATAAAGCCTTTTAGAGTTTTTTACGAAAATAATGAACTTGACTGTAAACAAATGATCGATACTATAATAATTATCACACTGTAACTTACATTGATGATAGCAAAAGGATACAGATTAGTCTGCAGAAGCTATGGCGCTTGGCCAAACTTCTCGAATAGCAGATGTTGTGGGCGGCCTAACCTAAAGAGTTTGCTCCAACGAAGCCTTTCAAAGAGCATCTCATCTAAAAAAATTCCCGGACGTCTCAATCGAGCTCAATATGTCCACCTTTGTACATTTGACGTCCGATTGTAATAAACTGTAGGTATTGTCGTAAATCAGTGACCGTCGGTATTAAATTCCTGGCAACTTTTTGAACAATGATTTATTTCTTTTTCAAATTTTCCCGGAAAATATAACTGGAGTAATTCGCTAATTTTGTATATTCATCACAAATAAATTGATTACAATTCATTTGTTTCTACATTTTTCTAAAGTATTTTATTCTAAGCATATTTGATGAAAGCACATTAGGGTATATACACATGAAACTAAAATTATACAAACACCTAGTCTGGTAGATAAAGTAACGAATAAAGCATGAAGTGTAAGCTTTTAAAATTTAGGTTTGCTGGCATCGCGCCTGGCGTATTGGAAATTAGTAGAGTATCTGGTATCTGTGGCCGACCCATTTCGCTTGAAACGATAATCAATAATACTTTATACACTTTTGATGCTGTTTTCTATAGTAACGTGACGTTGATTTATCAACGTTTCTCCGCTTTCATAAATACTAGCAGTTTCATACAATAGGGAATATGCGTCTGATTCAAAAAAGGGCTAAATATATTTTATTACAATCGTTATTGCTTTAGATTAAAGTATATCTAAATATTTTTCAAT